ATTCTATTAAATAAATGGGCATTTCAGCTTTTAAACAGAAAATCTAACACACAAATTCAGGTCTGGAAGCAGATTCATAAAATATGATATAGCTTTCAACTATTAACTGAGCTACAAATTGTAAAAAGTATTTTTCTCATATTCATTTTGTCTCATTTCTGAAAAAGTGGGGGGGGAATTTGCTATGTGGAGTGAAAGCATCTTGTATGCCAGAGTGATTATCTCCACTCCTTTATTGCATGGCTAGTTTTCCTGTTTCATAAAACATTTAGCCTACAGGACATAAAGAGCCTGTCTTATGTATTCTCAGTACTAATGGGAGTTTTCTAATTGTCCTTATAGAGAAAACGTGATGGAAGATATTTGTAGTAAACTGCAAGAGATTAGGAACCCAATCCATGCCATTGGACTTCTTATACGGGAAATGGATTATGAAACCGAAGTGGAAATGGAAAAGGGATTCAATCCAGGTAAATGACAGAACAACAAATATGCTGCTTTGATTGAGAGAAAACCATGATACATTTAACTCCATTTTTCTTCTTATTACAGCGCAGCCTTTGAATGTTCGACTGAATCTTTCCCAGCTGTATGGTAGTAGCACAGCAGGGTATGTTGTATGCAGAAGTGTATGTAAAATTGCCAGCACTCGCTTCCTGATCTGCCGAGACCTCTTGATCTTACAGCAGCTGTTAATGAGGCTAGGAGATGCAGTAAGTACTACTTAAGGGAAAATTTATAAAATCTAAACCCCGATGTGGACCTACAATGCACATAGCAGCAAAATGTCAGCTCTAACAGTATAGAGACTTTGTTCACTGCTTTATCCTCCATGTTTGGCCTTATTAGGTACTCTATAAATATTTGTTGAATTAAGAATGAATAAGCATCATAATCGTTACGAGATTACAGATTAAGAACATATATGAAGCAGATTGCTTTACTCTTTTTTTTTGAGACAGAGTCTTTCTCCATCACCCCAGGTAGAGTGCAGTGGTGTCATCGTAGTAGCTCACTGCAACCTCACACTCCTGGCAGGCTCAAGTGATCCTCCTGCCTCAGCCTCCTGAGTAGCTGGGACTACAGGCGCACACCACCTTCCACGCCCAGCTAATTTTTTTCTATTTTTGGTAGAGACAGGGTCTTACTCTTGCCCAGGCTGGTCTCAAACTCCTGAGCTCAAGCAGTCCTCCCATCTCAGCCACCCAGAGTGCTGGGGTTACAGGTATGAGCCACTGCGCCCGGCCAGATTGCTTTACTCTTAACCTTTGTGTATGTATAGCAGTGGAAATTTTTCACACGTTTGCATTCCCAAAATTTAGTATTATTATTACTACTTGGATGTGATAGCAGAGTATTGTTTAGTGTAGAGGAGAGAGGAAAAAGAACTTCTCTCTTTCTACAGAGCAAGCCTTATTCTAAACACAATTTTGAGATTGGAAAGTTTGTCTTTGTGGTCCTCCCAGCATCATCTGTGCTTCGTCTTCTGTCCTATTCTCAGACTGCCAAACTGTTGTTGCTGTCATATGGTCTAATTGCCCACCCTACTGAGTGTTCTTTGCTTAAAAATTACCTTTCTGCCCAGTCTGAAGTCCCAATTTTCTGAGTCAATAATCTCATTTGAGCCTGACAAGGAAGCAATCTGATTAAACCAATTCATGTTAATGTTAATGGTAAATAGCCAAAAGTCCTTTGAGGCTCCCAGAAGTATTTATACTTTTTAAATCAGAATTTATTAGTAAATACATTGATAATGGTAGAATGTCCAGCAAAAATAAGAAAAAAACATTTAGGAAGATAATTTGTTTAAGACCACCAAGGAAAAACAGGCACCTTTGCTGAGAGTCTGTCACTTAGGTTGGTTAGTTAGCCCTTACTGAACTTTTTTGCTCCATGTAGATTCTTACATTTCTTCAGATTTTTTTGTTTTTTAAAATAATAACCTTTGTTTTTCTAAACACAGAAGTAATAGATATTTATTATAGAACCTTTATAAGATATATGTATGTGAAAAGAAAATGAAAATTCATCTACTAATCCTGTACCCAGTGATAACTGCTATTTACATTTTGATATATACCCTTTTTTCCTATGCAAACAGTTTTTTGGTTTTGTTTATAAAATTAAAATATGCCACATAGTATTTTTTGTAATCTAGTTGTCATTATTTCTCCACTTTATAAATCTCATCAGCTTTTCCCATGTTATGAAGTATTCTACAACATTATTTTTAGTAGTTACCTAAATATAGTTTTGATTTATTCAGTCAGTTCCCTTTGTGGCCATCCAGCTTGTTGCCAGTTTTTTTCTTACAGCTATAACTTTCTGTACATCTTTGTTTTTTTTGTTTGTTTGTTTTTGAGACAGAGTCTCACTCTCTTGCCTGGGGCAAGTGCCGTGGCGTCATCCTAGCTCACAGCAACCTCAAACTCCTGGGCTCAAGCGATCCTCCTGCCTCAGCCTCCCAGGTAGCTGGGACTACAGGCATGTGCCACCATGACCAGCTAATTTTTTCTATTTTTTAGTTGTTTGGCCAATTTCTTTCTATTTTTAGTAGAGATGGGGTCTCACTCTTGGCTCAGGCTGGTCTCGAACTCCTGAGCTCAAATGATCCGCCCGCCTCGGCCTCCCAGAGTGCTAGGATTACAGGCGTGAGCCACCACTCCCGGCCCACGGTATGCACATTTTTAAGGCTTTTGGTAGTATTGCCAGATTTGCCTCTAAATGATCATGCCTATTTTTACCCAAAATCCATAGCATAAGAGAGGATTTAGATTTCCCTGCTCCTCTTCTTCAATTCTGATTTAATGAAAGTTAGGCTTTTTGGTTGTTGCTTTCTTTTTCAGCATCAGCTCCAATGACTTGGTGAGCTGTTGTTGATTATTTTTGTACTGTTAATTTTTAGGAAGCTATTTTGCCACTTGATACCCCAAATTGTAACAGGTGTGTTGCTTTTACAATATCGTCTCCTTTGTTATTTTATCTTATCTCCACCTGAACTATAAAAGTTACGATTACTGATGGCTATTATTTATTGTCTTCTCTACCCACGCATCATGTATAGGTGATTTTGGGAGCCGGTCAGCTCTTTCAAGCTCAGCAAGACCTACTACATCGGACAGCTCCCCTGCTCTTATCTTACTACCTCATTAAGTGGGGAAGTCAGTGCTTGGCAACTGATGTTCCACTTGACACACTGTGAGTTTCATGGTCTAATTATTTTAAAAAACTGTGAATTTAATTATTTTTTCCATTGTCCTAAAGGAAGAAATTTTTTCTTTAGTCATGCCATAAGATTATGTGCCTTTAAGATTCAAAGAGCTTTCAGGTACTCCATTTTCTAAAGGTCGAAGGCAACTTACAAGACTGAAAATTAAAATACATTTATTTTATATATGCTTATTATATATTATATATGTGTGTGTGTGATGTATGGGTAAATCATGTTGAAGACAAAATATTAAGATGAAGCCAGAATAAAAGTTAGACCATACACAAAAACATTGTACTCTACTTATTAAAGATAGGCTTAGCTTCTTTATAACCAAAGGAAAAAAGAAAATCCAAGAATCACAAGTTTCACGTTTTCTTTCCTTTTTCTTTTTTTTTTTTTTTTTTACCCTGAGTCTGCTTCCTAGGAAAGATTCACATTTTCAGTAAGATAAACTATCCTGTTTGCTCTGGCTCCTCATTATAGGGTCACTGAGTGATTTGGTGGGCAACAGTCTAAATCATGACATTTTCCAATTATTTTTATGCTTTCAGCAGAGTCTTTTATGTGCAATTTATTAAATGAATTGAAAGTGTTCTTCGTAAGATACCTTGTAGAAGTAATGTTTGACGTAGGAGAATTCATTAAACTGTCCTTTTCCCTTTTCTCACAGGGAGTCTAATCTCCAACACTTATCAGTATTGGAACTAACAGACTCTGGTGCTCTAATGGCAAATAAGTTTGGTAAGGAGTGGACTGTGTATACATTTGATTTTAAATTGTATATTCATTAAAATGGTCTTTTGCCACCTTTGCTATGGAAAGGTTGGCCAGGCTCTTTGCTTTCACTTTAAGAGGGCCTGAGCAAGTTGTCGCTTGAGACTTCTGGTTGTGTGGCAAGGGGTCTGCGAAACTGTAGTCCCAGATCAGGCATAAATTGAGGGTGTGGTACATATATATACTGCTGCTTTGCCATTCTGTTTTGATGCTCCAGTGATTAATTCAACAAAATTAATTTAAAAGCTTACCAAGTTCATGGTAGCTTTTGTAATCTTGTCTTAGTCAACAAATATTTATAACTTGAAAACCTTGAAAACCATTATTCTAGAGAATTTATGTTGTATTTTTTTGGTATAAAACTCGTTATCTTGGGACTAAATGTACTTACTATAAAGAGGTCCTAGGAAAGGCACTTAGATGTAGTGAGGTCAGTGAAAAGAAATGACTATAACATTGCATTAAGTGACTTTTTTATTGCATTTGTGTAGTACTTCACAGTTTACAAACAGCTTTTATTCATATTGCCACTGATTATACTCATTAATTTTCTGTTTTGAAATGATGTGTTCTTTCTTATAAACATAAAATTGGTAGACCATCTGAATTGAAAATTGATATTACCATCAGTAGTTTGTGATTATCATAACTTTTTCTTTTTAAGTATCTAGCCCACAGACAATCGTGGAGTTATTCTTCCAAGAAGTTGCAAGAAAACACATTATATCTCATCTGTTCTCTCAACCAAAGGCACCTCTGAGCCAAACTGGATTGTACTGGCCTGAAATGATTACTGCAGTTACCAATTATTTATTGCAACTTTTGTATCCTTTTATATAAAAGCCAGTTGAAAGGTCTCCTACCTAAACAGTATAATGCTCTGATTCTGCCTGTGTAATGAAGAATTTTAATGAGGTTAGATGCTTACCTACCTAACAAGATTTTTAGGTATTTTCAGATTTGATCCCAATTTTTATTTTATTTGTTTTTCACTCAGGAATTGAGCAAAATTATGTTGGTACACACACATTTAATACCTGGGTCCCTTTAAAACATTCATTAAGCAATGATTTATTGAACAGCTCTATATGCCAGGTGCTATGTTACATGTTGGATGTCCACTTGCACCAACAGTAGATATCTGCAGTATATTGGAAATGACCACCTAAGAATGAAATAAATCCTTTATTCCATAGTTAACTAAGTTCTAAGCTGGGTGACAGAACCCTTTAGGTATATATATATCTTTTCACTGTATTTGGTATATATAAACTTACATATATTTGTCTAATATTAAGGTTATATAGTGAGTTTACCTTTTTTTTAAAAAAAAATTAAGCTGTTTCATGGACTCTTCTGAGTTCAATGCCCAATATGTACATTTAAGTTTTGCCCAGAAAAGTAAGAAATCTCCTTAACCAATGACTAGATGGCCTAGCAATCCCGGTTGTCTCTTTCTAGAATGTTTGATGGGGAATTGTCAGTATGTACAATTGCAGGTGAGTTCTTTTGAACATTTCAGGTTTAATCATTCTTGTAAAGAATGGGACTGCTAGAATTTTGATGTGATCTGATAATCAGTAATTTGAATTTGATTACACCGAGACATACCCCAAAAAGATTTTGTTATCTATGGCCATACCACCCTGAACGTGCCTGATCTTGCCTGATCTCAGAAACTAAGCAGGGTTGGGCCCAGTTAGTACTTGGATGGAATGTCGCCTGAAACATCAGTTGCTGTAGGCTTTTTAAAAAAGTAATAAAATTTAAAGAAGAGAGATTTTTCTCTACTTCTGTCTTTTTTAAAAAAATGTTTAAAATTACTTTGTTTTTTTTCCTTAAATGGCCATCTCAGCATCAGATCTACCTCTCTTAACAATATTATTCCTAACATAAGTTTTTCTAGGGTATCTTTTTTTTTAATTCTCTCCGCTAGATTTTTTTTTTGAGACAGAGTCTCACTGTGTTGCC